GGCACCTAGAGCAGCAGCCTCACCAGCACCTAGAGCAGCAGTACCAATGCCCGGGTCGGGCGGGAAACACCGGTAACAGTCACCCTTATCACTAATAGTCACAGCATACATGGCAGCAAGGATAGCATCAAAGTCAAGATCATAGATAGCTACACCTGCCCTAGACAGCTCTCCCCAGCAGGGGATCTCACTAGCCTCAGGGAACTGCTGACGCCAAGCGTCCGTCAGGCGGCCAAAGCAGCGCTGGGTGGTGTGGGCACCCCCACACTGCTCACCCGAGCGGTCGCCGGAGCGAAGGACGTAGGTGCACAGACCAAAACCCCCACCACGCTGACGCTGCGCGTACCACTCACGGAGCTGCTGAGGGGGGGGGATGTCCCGAGAACGCTGCTGCTGCTGCTGCTGGCGCTGACCACCATCGGAGCTGCTCCGCTGCGAAGCACCACCCCGACCACCACCACCTCCCCCACCACCGCCTCCTCCACCTCCGCCACCACCGCCGCCTCCGCTACCACCGCTACCGCCTCCGCCGCCTCTGCCTCCACTGCTGCCAGCGACACCTCCACCCCCGCCACCACTCCCACCGCCACCCCCACTCCCTCCGCCGCCTCCACCGCCACCTCCACCACCCCCGCCAGCTCCACCCGCGCCCTTGCCCCCCTTGCCCTTGCCAGAGCAGCGTCTCCCCGAAGGGGCAAACGATGCACCGACCGACTCAAGTCCAACGAGGTCGGCCGCAGCAGCAGAGGCGACAGAGGGCAAAAGGGGGGAAGGGGAACACCCCTCAAAGATGGGGGTGCAAGGGTCACCACGAGAGGCTCCTACAGCGACTATGCTCTTCTCCGCTGCTAGGAGGGCCTTCTCTAGGAGGTCAACAGTAAGAGTGGTGGGACAGACTGAGAGGAAGTGGTCCCTGACTACACGAAGAGAGTCAGGGAGCCGGATGACTATGTAATAGAGAGTGATGTACATGGGGGGGGGGTTCTTGGCGCAGAACTCAGCAGGAAGCGCAGCGCGGTAGCGAGTGTCACTAGTGCGGAGGTGCGTAATGAGGTCAGCGACTGTGGGAAAGGCAGCAAGGTCAGGGATGAGGTACGGTAGCATGAGGCGGCTCAGTGCAGCAGTGGCAGGGGAAGAGTAGCGCGCAACTACAGCGTCGTACAAGGTCTGAGCACTCTTGTACTGACTAAAGTGCGCGCGCTCAGTGGTAGGCAGGTGGTGACGCACAGCAAGACGTGCAGCAGCATCGCGCGTGGCCCACTTAGAGCGAACAGTGGCGTCAGCGTCAGCAGCAGGGGCAGGAGAGGCGCTAGAGGTGAGGTCAAAGAGGGAGAGACCGTCTGCCCTATCGCACTGTAGGAAAAGCTGCAGGTCATCTACCCATACCTCAAAGTCAAAGGCCCGACCCTCAGCGTCAAAAGCGAGCCATGACAGCAGTAGACTAGCAGTACCAACTGTAGGACAGGGGCAGTGCAGTGACAGAAGCGCTGCTCTCACCAGACAGGGCGGTTCGGGCAGCTCAACAGCACAGCAACACGGCGGATCGGGCGACTCGGACGGCTCAGTAGCAACTGCGGCTCTGCGGCACCAGCGGCTCGGCTCCTCAGTGGCTCAGGTGGCTCGGGCGGCTCGGGCGGCTCGGGCGGCTCGGGCGACTCGGGCGGCTCGGGCGGTTCGGGCGGCTCGGGCGCAGTGAGAGGGGCGGCGGGGCCGCAGCGAAGGGCGGCGGGGCCGCAAGGTAGGTGGTGGGGCCGCATCGAGAGGGGCGGCGGGGCCGCAGCAAGAGAGGCGGCGGGGCCGCAGCGAAGGGCGGCGGGGCCGCAGAGAAGGGCGGCGGGGCCGCACCGAAGGGCGGCGGGGCCGCAGCGAAGGGCGGCGGGGCCGCAGTGAAGGGTGGCGGGGCCGTAGTGAAGGGCGGCGGGGCCGCAGTGAAGGGCGGCGGGGCCGCAGCGAAGGGCGGCGGGGCCGCAGTGAAAGGCGGCGGGGCCGCAGCGAAGGGCGGCTGGGGCTGCAGCGAAGGGCGGCGGGGCCGCAGCGAAGGGCGGTAGGGCCGCAGCGAAGGGCGGCGGGGCCGGGACAGGGCGGTGCCGAGGCCGTAGGGCTAGGCGACGGGGCCGCTAGGGCGATGGGGCCGCTAGGGCGATGGGGCCGCTAGGGCGATGGGGCCGCTAGGGCGGCTCGACGAAGTGAGAGAGAGGAGCGTGACTCGGGCAGGAGCGCGCTCCGGGCAGGAAAAAAAAAAAATCGATGTGGTGGGCCCTAGGCACAGTTCCCACGAGGGAATCTGCTCGATACCATGCGAAAGTTAGAACGAGAATGGATTGACTAAGGGAAAGTTGGGTACAAATACAAACCCTAGAAAGCTGTACCCCATATGTGCTACCCCACTATAGCCTACAACAGCTATGTCATATAAATCTGACAACCTCCTCGAAAGTCGATTTTCGAGAAAACTCGGGCTCGCAGGATGGGTTAACGGGATTTGACGGTAACTCGCTCCAGTGCGCGGTAGTCGTTGCACATGCGAATTCCCCCGTCTTTTTTCGGTGTGAACAGTATCGGTGTTGCGAAGGGTGATGAACTCAGGCGAATGAACTCCTTCTCGAGCAGGTAATCCAGTTGTTTCCGTAGCTCGTCCAGTTCGGGTTGGGTAAGTCGGAACTGTCGCTGTACTGCCCCTGGTTCTAACTCTATCCTGTGGTCGTGCGGTTGTTGAGGTGGCAGTTCTGTCAGCAGGTCATCTGGGAAAATCCCACTGTGCTGCTTCAGTAGTGCTGCCAAGTCATCCGGTACGTCGGCTAGCAGTTTTTGTAAATCACTTCCCCTGTCTGCTGCCTCGGTTTCACGAATGTCAACCGCATACACGTCAGCTCCTGCCGCTACGGCGCGTTTCATCGTGATCGCGTTGACACGTACCGACGAAGACTCATGCGAGGCCTAGCGAGGTAAGGTGATGTTGTTACCGTTCACTCGCACGGTGCAGTCGTCCACTCGATTCGCGGGTTGTGTCATCGCAGCCAATCACGGCCGAGTCAAATGTCGGTTCCATCGAGGGTTGTCGCGAGCAGTTCCTAGCTAAACGTGAAGCTACCCCCGCATCGGATCCGGACTCGTTCCACGCGTCGTAAGGCTGGTGACATCAATGTGTTCAGCCATTCCGAAGGGCGTCTGCTCAGCTTAGTCTAGGCGCAGCCGTGGCTGCACGCGCTTACGAGAGAACGCGAGGACAGCGGCTCCTAGGTGCTAAGGAGCGTGAGTCCCTTTGAGCAAAAATCAAAAGTTGATAACCTGGGGTGCAGAGATGCGCGGTCCAAAAGGAAAGTGGCTCTGATAACCAAGTGTTATGGGTGCCATGGAACGCAGTAGCGAGGATTGCACTAGGGTGTCAAAACGAGTACCAAGTATGAGCGAATAATTATACGCGAAACATGCAAACGGTAACGCGATGCGTGCGAGCTAGCTAGTGCTACGCTGGCAGCGAGGTTCGGGCTAGCCCCGAAGCTTTGGCCGACTCGGTTGGGCCAGTAGTGCGAGGTTTGGTGAAACAGTGCGCGCGAAGTTGGTGAAGCCACGTTAGCCGTAACTGGCGAACGGCGGCTGCTGATGTACGCGATGTTGTGGGTCGCGGTAAGGAATGTCGAGAAAATTGTTGAAGGAAATTGGCCCCGCCCTTGCATGGGCAAAACTGACTTCGTGGTCGGGTGTGCGGGAGGTGCAGCCGACCTTCTGCAGGAGTACAAGGGTTGCCTGTACACGAGGTGTACTAGGGAATCCATGCAAGAGTAGCTGAAGCATCCGCGAGTGTATCACAGACGTCCCGTGCACATGTACAAGTGGCGCAACTCGTACAGAGGTTCGCGGGTGTTCGTCTGCGCAGGGTCGCGTCTGACCCTGCGCACCCTTGAGACTGCACAAGCGAATTTTGGCCAGAAATTCGAATGTGCCCTAATTTCGACCAATGAGGAGCTGACATTTTTAAATGTCGACTGAGCTTTTCGACAAAGGTGCTCGACGAAGGTCGCCGACCCGCGACGACGAAGGTCGTCAACTGGTGATGACGAAGGTCATCATCTAGCAGGGTTGTCAAGGGCTTTACCTGGTCGACCGAGTTACCTGCTCGACGAGGTTCTGCGGAGGGTCGCGAACGTCGTCGAGGTTGCTGTGGTGAGGTCGACCGACGTGGCTCGTCAGGTGCAACCGTCAGTATGTGGCTGACAATGACAACCTGCGCAATGTGCTCGACAGTGCACGTCGTGCATAACTGTGTACAAGCATTAGCGAAGTAGGTGCTTGCACATGCACTTACAATCACTTGCGGATGCAGTGCTGGCAAGCCACGCGGATGCAGCATTGGCAAGCCACGCGGGTGAAGCATTGGCAGGCCGTCATTCTGCAGCGTTGGCAAGTTGCACACTGTGTTGAAATGACAAGCTGCGTTGGCGGGTCAGTGGAGATGCTACGTCGACAAGTCAACAACTTTGTCGTGCTGGTGATTCGACCTACCTGAGCACAAGCAAACCTTGCATGTGATGTAGTCAATATTTGCCATTGCTTGTTATCATTCTGATCTCGGTATACTCAATATTCCTTAGTGAAACTCTTGTTTTATCCTCTGAAAACAGAAGTCCTAGAGAAACAGACGAAACATCACTCTGACAACTCGTGCCAACCCCATAGTCTAGCTCCCAGAGTTAATCTCCGCAAAAATTCCTTACAACAGGGCAGACTTTGTCGCGCCATGATGCGCCAGCAAGGATGCTCGGAAATGCGGCGCGTTCGGGAATTAGAGGCGGGAGAGACCTTAGGAGCGTGGAAATCTTAGATTGGTTGCGAGGAAGAAACCTTGAATAGTGAAATTTATGAAAATTGAGGATGGAAAACCATGGAAATGAACCAGAGCTAAGCTCATATGTCATTAGCTAATTCGAGTGAATTCTGGGAAGAAAAGCATCAGCAACCCTTACCACCACCACCCGAAAAAAAGCACCAACAAATCCTGTTTACACGCGCGACCAGCCATAGTCCTTCACCAGATAGTTCTTCCGGAACTCATTGCTGCGTGCGACCGCGGCGGCGCTGGGCCTGCGGGTCCAGGGGGCTTTGTTGCCCTGCAGGCTGTTGCACCACGGGCGGCCCGTCTGCCCCGACGCCTTGCACGTGCGGCGCACATCAAAGCGCCGGAAAATCACTTCCTTGGGCCCGCTGCCCCAGTTGGGCTTCAGCTGGCTCCACGACGACGCGTCCCAGATGGAACCCTGGAGTGATTGGGGCGGGAGGATATATGTGGGTGAGAGAGGAAGAGAGCGAGGCGATAAGCCTGGGAAGCGCGTGACACCACCCGGCCTTGAAACGCTGGGCAGAACAGGTTGCATGTTTAAGTGAAAGATCACTGAAACTCTCAAAAGGGCTCATACCTCGAACTTGACGTTCTCGGACGGGAAAGGGCGGCCGCTCTGCTTGTAGTGGATGCGAATGGGGGTGTCATCGACGGCCCACATGACGTAATCCGGCGAGTAGACGATGGTGTAGGTGTGGAACGCGGCGGACGGGTCGAAGGGGAACTTATACTGCTGCAGGTACACCTGCCCGCCGGTGATCAGATTCGTGTGCAGAATAATATCCCTGGGGGTATTTCCTCCAATAAATTCCAGATCGATCTCGTCATGAGGATCGGTGTATTTCGGGTTGTTGCCCGAGATGAGGTAGATGCAGGGGATCAAACCGCCCGAGTAGCCGGAAGGGAGCTTCATGTTGACTCGGAAGATGCCGTAGCCGAAGTAGCCCTTGGATGTGAACTCTGCCGCATTGGGGGGAGGGGCGGAAGCGGATCATGGATAGGGAAAGGGAACGTGTGAGAACGAGAACGGTAAGCTGAAAGAGGGAAAGGGAAAGGTTTACCTTTTGCCTCATCATTAGTTGCGAAGGTAAGGGCGGACCAGTTCGTGAATTGGGAGCAAGAGGGTGGGGTGGGGGCATGGTGGGTCAGTGGTAGATTAGAAGATGGGTGAGGGAAAAGGTGAGTGAACTTCAGCCTTGCATCGCTCGATTCCTTTCGCTGTGACGGTGCTTCGAAAGCTTTGACAGAGCGTGATGCCACCGTTTCCCGTAGTGCACTCACTCATTGTGGTGCCTCCGCCATCGTACCTCCCCCAAAATGCCCTACGCCGGCAATGCACCCACTGCATGTAATTTCCTTCTAGCCCGTGGTGCATTCCCTGAAATCACTCACTGCTCTTGATGCTCCATTTGCCTGTTCCGCGCTCACAGGTCCGCAAAACACTTACTGCCCATCTTATTCTTGTAGGCGGTGAGCTTCACGGAGCCGTCGGATTGGCGAGAGCAGCCGCCGTCCCACTTGCAAAAGTCGGGTAGAGCCATATGCTTGTCGAAAGACCCGTCGTATTTCGACGCCGCTGCAGCCACGCACGCGAACAGCAGGCCTAGAATCAGAAGGCGGCTCGTCGCCATGTTTTTCAGAGGAAAAATTGCCGGAGAGAACGATGGCAGGAGACTGGGATGTTACTCGCGTTTCGTGGCAGGCTTGCGAATACGTGAGGATAAGAGGGCTCCGAAGATAGAAGAACTAAGTTGTTTGATGAATGACGAAAAGAGGAGGGGCTATTTCAGTGGCCTGGTTGCATGCATGGACATTCCCAGCTTATATCGGAAAGGTGTGTTCGCATCGCGTTGAACAGAGATGACAGAACAATACAGTACGCGAGCCGTTCATTGCACCCCTTCAAGACTTTCTCGACTGCGTCGAGTCGCGACTCGCGAGGTCTAACACCGAGTCACATTCTCGACTCCCCCGCATCTGTGGGTTTGTGGCGAACCGCAATTTCCGTGTCGCCAGCAAGTTGACTGGCGGGTGATCAGAGGTGATGCTGGCCCCTGCTTTTAGCGAATAAGAGGATGCCAACTGGCGTGCATCTTCCTCGACCGACAACAGCCCCATCTGCAATTTGACCATCTGGACGGTCTGAAGAGCAGAAAAAACAATATTGTTTAATTGCGTATGGGTTCCTGCAATGAGACACACACTGCTCGTTTGTGTCACTTGAGCCACACGCAATCACCGGCTTTGGCTGAGAGGTGGGTAGGGAAGTCGATTCGCATTGCATCAGAGGTGTACACATGATGCCTGATTGAGCCCCTCCCGGTTGCGGGAGGAGGCGTATAATCTGTATCGAATATTTCGCATACTTTTCGTCAATTCGCGGCTAGCTAAAAAGAATTCGCAGGTGCTTATATCAGGATCTGTAACCTTATCTGTAGACATTTTGACTTCAGTCTCTTCAGTTTGACTTCGATCTGTTCGTTACAATTGGTTCATAGCTACGCGAAGCGCTTGTACCGTGGGTGCAACAGGCTGGGGAAAAAATCTCGGGTGCAGCGTTTCCATCCGGTCAGAAGCAAATTCGCTTGCATGGGGTGGGCCATCATCTGTACAACAGGCGATACCAAACCGACAAACCCTGCACTCTGTCGCTTTGGTCAAAACAAACTGCATTTCTTTTTGTTGGCGTTTATATTTTTTTTTTCTTCTTCTTTTTCTTTTTAGGCGCAGTGTAAGAAAACTTACGCATACACGACTTCCCACCACCAGCACCCAACAGTAAAACGTTACCTGCTCACGACACTCGCCTCGACCACTGTTTCCGCCACTGTACACGTCGTGACCCAACCTCACGATTCGTTTGGTAACCTGTGCTCCGACCCTCTACCTCGACAATTCCCAACCTCGCCGTCGGGCCCGACGCGCACCACATTCTCGCCAATACTGTTACCACGTGTTACAATCCCAAGTGGGACTTAGCAAAGGATCGCTCAGGGTTGATCGCGGAGTAGTTTTGCAGCGGAAGTTTGAATCTCATGTCAGAGTGAATGTAAATGACTGAGTTGATGATAGCATGCATACATCGAGTTTATATAAGAGTACAAGGGAATACGAAAGGACCTAGACTAGCCATGTACTCTAAGGGGTACATTCCCTTATCACAACTGAATTCAAAAAAACCGTGCGGCTCGGGAACCCGATCAAAACTGTTCCCGCTCTTTTCACTGTAAATGTTTCTGCCTGCATCGGTCTTGATCTGACGGTTGGTGCGTCGCTTCGGCTCTTATGACTCCTCAGCTTCGTACTCGGTAGAGTCGGCTCCTGCAGCATACAGGAATGCCTTCTCATAAAACTTCGCATCGTAACACTCCCCTTCATTCCTGGGCGCGGGTGGAGCTGACTCGCTTGACTACTCCGGTGAGGTCAGAGCAGTGCTTATACTGCTGACGTGGCAGGCACTTGGTAAGGAAGTCTGCTGCCATTTCAGTGGTCGGGCAATAAGCGAGGTCCACATTGCCTTGGTCGATTTCGTCCTTGGCAGAAAAATACCGAAGTGCGATGTGCTTCGTGCGGTTCACGAATCCTGGCTTATTCCCGATTTTGATGGCACTCTGGTTGTCGCAGTGAAGGCGAAAGGTAGGCGAGGTTGGAATTTTCGCCTCCTGTAGCAGCTCCTACAGGTACAGGCCTTCGCGAACTACTGCTGTCGCGGCGATGTATTCTGCTTCGGCCGATGATAGGGCAACCAGCTCCTGCTTCTGGGAGTTCCAGGAGATTGGACCACTTGGTTCCAGGCGAAAAACGAAGCCGGTTCGGGAACGTCGATTTGCAGGATCGCGTGGTCTGCGTCCACGTAGCCGTTGAGGTTGAAGGAGGTCGTCGTCAGCGTGGAGTAGGAGAGCCCGATGTCAGGTGTGGAGATGAAGTACTGCAGGGCGCGCTCCAGGTCCAGCTGGTTCTCAGCTACAGGCTTGCGAGAGTACTGCGCCAGTTGGCTAGCGATGTACGAAAGGTCGGGTCGGCAGGTGACAAAGGCGAATAGCAGGCACCCCAACTTCTATTGTGAGAAAACTGAAACGAGAATGGAATGACTAAGTGAAAGTTGGGTACAAATGCAAACCCTAGAAAACTGTACCCCATATGTGCTACCCCACTATAGCCTACAATAGCTATGTCATATAAATCTGACACACCCCCATAGGCAAAGTGGGGGAGTACAAGGGGTCACAAGACCAATCAAGCAAAGCAAAGCAAAGCAAGCTCACGGTGGATCACAAAGTCACCACACATTCCGAGCACAAGGTCAAGGCCATAAGGCCAGTTCACATGCAGGAGTACACACATATATATATAATATATATATACATATAAAAGGCTAGACAAGCAAGAGCAGGAGTATATATATATGTAACAATACAAGCAAGAGCAAGAGGTAAGCAAGTGAGGCAAGGCAGGCACAAGACCCAGCTGAGTACAGAAGCGCTGATGATCACAAGCCGCAAGTGCCTTGGTGAAGATATCAGCAGTGTTGGCCTCAGAGGCCACGTATGCAAGACGCAGCTAACCACGCTGCTGCAGCTCACGAGCAAGGAAGTAACGAAGAGCAATGTGCTTCGTTCTCTGCTCCAGTCTCTGCTCTTGACACAAGGCCAGCATGGCCTTGTTGTCTACGTACAGCACTGGAGGAGAACGAGGCGGCTCTCCGAGGTCAGTCAGCACGTAGGTGAGCCAGCGAAGCTCCTGTGCAGCCATGGCCCCGGCGTAGATCTCACCCTCACAACTGGAGCCGAGAACAGAAGACGAGCGAGTAGCCCGCCACGAAACAGAGCCGGAATCAAGGCTGAAGGTGTAGCCTTGTGACGACCGCTGCGTAGCTTGGTCGTCAGCCCAAGAAGCGTCTGCGTGCCCAGTGAGGACCACTAGACTCTGCCCTCCAAGCACAAGCCCCATTCCCGACGTACTGCACAAGTAGCGCAACACCCTCTTCGCTGCGGCCATGTGCTCCGGTCTGTGTCTCCCAGGAGAAACATAGCGTGCGGGAATGCTAAGAGGGTACGCAAGGTCAGGTCGAGTGCAGGTCATCAGGTACATGAGGTAGCCAACAAGCTCTGGGTACGGGCCACTCGACTCTACGGACTCATCCGAAGGCAGAGTTGAGAGCGAGTGGCGAGTAGACAGAGGAGTGGCATGAGGCGAGGAGTACGTGAAGCCAAAGCGCTAAAGGGCCTGCTGCACCATGTGTGACTGAGTCAGGGTAATGGTGCGGCGTGCTCTGTCCCGGGTGATCTGCAAGCCAAGGTAGCTGCGCAGTTCACCCAGGTCTGTGCACGTGTGTCTCTTCTGCAGCTCGGACTTCACGTGGGTGAGTCCAGCAGTGTCAGCAATGGCAAAGACCAAGTCGTCGACTTACACGAGGATGTAGAACAGCGGCAAAGAAGTGTCGGTGCGCAGAAACAGCAATGTGTCGGCAGTAGAGGGAGTAAAGCCAAGAGCCGCAAGCGTAGTCCTCAGTGTGTCGTGCCACTCACGCGGTGCCTGGCGAAGACCGTAGACTGGCCGCCGGAGGCTCCACTGGGTGCCAGGAGGAAAAGTCCTAGTGAAGCCAGGTGGGCGGCGCAGCCAGATCTCCTCGTGTAGGCTACCCTGCAAGAAAGCAGTGCTGAAGTCAATAGAGTGAAGCTCGTAGTCACGCTGAGCGGCTATGTGTGGTCATCTTCGAGGTGGGAGAGAAGGTCTGAAATTAGTCAAGCTCCCTGCCGCTGACTGAAGCCACGAGCCATGTACCGCGCCTTGAAGACAGGTGGAGAACCTGGCGGCCGCTTCACCCTGAAGATCCACATGCCACTGACGATGTTCGCCCCAGGCAGGGGAACCTCATCAACGTAGGTGCCTGTGGAATTCCAAGAGGCCATCTCTGCGTCCATAGCTGCCTGCCATTGAGAGGAGTAGGGACCCTCTACCGCCTCCGCGTAAGAGCGCGGAGTTGGGATGTCAAGTGCATCCGGGTCTCCCTTAGGGGTAAGTAGTACGGACACGAGATGAGGTGAACCAACAGCCACACGCTGGAACTCCTCCTACCTGTTCTCAAGGACGTCCGTGCCAAGGGCACACTCACCCCTGACGGACGGAGGACAGTCAGACTCAGACTCAGCAACAAGACTAGCAGCGTAGTCTAGACGACAGCGAGCAGCGAAGTCGACGAGCTCAGCAACTAGGGCAGACGTAGCAGTGGACTCAAAGGAAGGGTCAGTGACTACAGTAGCAAGGAGACGCATGACAGTAGGACTGGCAGCACGAAGAGAGTCCGACTCCGGGTCGGCAAGAGCAGGAAGAGAGGACTCAGGAGGAGAAGGCAAAGGGACACGCAGAGGAGCAGTGGACGGATGCAGAGACATCCGGTGCGTGCCAGGGACAGGAGGAGGACGCTGACGCGAACCGCGACCACTAGTGCGAG